AGTGCTTTGAGGCGAGTGCTGCTGTCAGTCACCGCGCTGTGTGGATACTGTCATACAGAATCACAGATTCACTTTTTGAAAGTTTGACCAACATAAGAATTTTCATAAGAAAATGTCTTCTGAACAAGTAAGTAACATCCATTTTTGTTCTGACCAACTAAGGGGGAAAAAGCATTCGACATGATAAGCTTCGTTAGATTTAATCAACGCGATTTACAGCAACCGTGCAAATTATAGCCTACTTTGTTCTCAAATTCATGTTAACAACATCACATCAGCATAGCGTGACTAATGTTAAATTTAATGTGTTTTATGGTTACCTGTGTAGTTCAGAATTCATATTCTCCATAATAGCAAAACGAGAAAGGCACAACAAAGGAAACTCCATAACTGTGTGAATTAAGAAAACGTACTGTTACACGATTGAACTATTGAAATGTCTTACTTGTTCAGCAGAAAAAAGCCGTCTCTTCTTCCGTTTCGAACCCCTTCAAAACACGGAGTTCACGCACTTTTCAAAAGCCCCGCCGATGTTTAAATCCTTGTGTTCGCATGAGACGGTTTCTTTCTCTTTCTCTAGCCACCTTAAATCCGAAGTACGAAGTCTTTTGTGTTTTATAACTGCTGAATCTCCAGTTGACACTGATGATTGTTGTTTGAATCTTCCTGGATGCCATAAGTTTAATTATGTAAAGTGCTGCGAGAAAAGCCTATACATCTAAACATCTCGTCACGCGCAGTATAGCCGAAGGAGCCGAAACTCCTTCTTTATGTGTACGGGTGTGACGTAATGACGCAAAGACATGCTCGAATTTCCCGCGGAAACCCACCAGTACCACTGGAATTAAAATCATTATTACAAGCTAACCGTTTTGAATCTAGCTATGGCAAGCAGATAGTTTTGACCACTGGCAGAATAAGTTTTTTTTAATATAATTATTTTGGATTATTTTTAACTTAAAAAAGTTACGGACTGGAGCGTTAATAGAAAGTTAAAAAGAACAGCATTTATATGAAATAGACATTTTTTTGTAAAATTGTAAAACAAAAATCTTATTGACTCCAAACGTTTAAACAGTAGACTATCTATTCTGTGACTATGCTTTTTCACACCTGTAACTGCAAGGATGCATGTGTGCCATATTAGTGAAGGGTCGCTCCACAAAATGATCAATGATAATACCCATGATGGGGCCTGTCCTCTCAAACTGCCTGTGAAAAAACACAAAGACATCTAGCACAAAACCACTACAAAACTACAATAACCAGAATGCCCAATCTTTTAAACGTGTTGCATACGGGAAGCTGTAATGTATACCTTGAAGACATGAGGGCCAAATTAGTGCGATATGCACAGGACAAAGTGATGGTGCCTATGGGAGTGCCTACAATACCCACTCGCACTGTCTGGAACCCTGCGGAGAAACGTGAAGAATCTGAACAAATACACGGCTCTCTGGAGAATATCTACACAACATTTATTAGTATTTTGCTCCTCACAGTATTACCTTCCCCAAAACCTGTCAGCTGGACATCTCCAAAATAGATCCTATCAAAGACATATTATTAAGATAATGTCAAGTCAATTCATTTATTTATATAGAGCTTTATACAATACAGATTGTTTCAAAGCAGCTTCACAGTAATAAACAAGAAATAACAGTATTAATGTTGCAAAGTTCTTTAACTATTAAACAAATACAATTTCAGCTGTAAAGCATCTCTAAAAAGAAAAGTGTCATTATTCATTATTTAGTTCAACACTGTGAATGTTGCAGAGTTCAGTAATTATGAAACGAACTCAGTTCAATAAAGCAGCTCTACAGAAGATAATAGTGTCATTATTCAGCTCAGTGTGAATTGAGTTTAGTTCAACAAGTGCAAAGTTAATTAAATGAGAAACAAGCTGAATTCAGCTATAAGCAGCTCTACAGACAATAATGTAATTTAATCATATTCAGCTCAAGTCACTTCAGTGTTGATTCAATTCAGTTATATAACAGTCTCAAGAAATGTAGCAAAATCTGATTGGAAATGGTTTCCCTGCATGAAATCATGTATTATTATGAGGCTTTGTGGACATTGAAGGAAGTGTGTTGAGTACCTGTAGAGTATGACATAGTCATGGCCTTGTTTACGTGAAAGCTTGTAAGCAGGTGTCACCCTTGTGATGGCCAGTAAAGATTTGAGCAGTAGAGACAGCCGATTATAAACTGTATAGGACACTTTAATGTCCTTATCACACCTGGAAAAAAATCAAAACCGTAGTTATGTCCTGGTATATGTTGTTAATGTACCTACCAACCTCTACACAGAGCAGTTGACATCTGAATGTGAAGGGGATCAGAGTGCTTACTTTTCATTCATTTCCAAACACCATGTCTCCAGCTCCATGGAGTCTCCCTGCATTGGTAAACATAACTCATTAATACTCAAGTAAAAATATTAGGCATTTTAAACATTTTGTTTCATGTTTATCATAATACTGTTATTACATAGAGAGTGAACAAAAACGAAGACTAGACCTCTGAGGTTTTGAGGGAGATCTCCACACACATGGATCGGCCGATGCCAGGCAGCTGTCCAGCAAGAGCTTTTTTTGCCTCATGAGTCACCTCCGGGATGTCTTTTATTGCCAGATTAAACTGAGAGAGAGAACATAAAGACACACAGACAAACAGAGTTCATGTTAGTTATGATGTAAAGAAAACAGGGCTCTTCGTAAAAGGAGCATCCTCAATGTGTTTTACCCAGTCTGAACCGGTCGGTGATGAAGATGAGCAAGTGGTGATCTTCTCTCCAAGTCGGGCTTGAACTATAACCTGCACGGTCTGAAAGACACACAGGTAAAACAAAGTACATCATCACTGTGTCGACTGGGAGACCAGATTTCATGGATGCAACAAAACCTTATAATGTATTGTTTAATGCAATCACCTTCAAGGCAAAGAATTTGATGAATTTATCCAAGTCTTTCTTGTCCTGTGGGCTCAGATCACTATCCATTGTCGCATAAGCCTAAGGCATACAAACGAAAGACAGTTTTCTCAGTAAACAGTGGAAGAGCTGATATACTTTACAGATAATATAGTACAGTAATCGAAAAGGTATATAACACGCATAATTAAAAGTCAAGTCAATTAGTAGGGGAAGATGTCCCATTAAGAACAATGTAAAAAATGTTTTTTTTTTTTTACAAATATTATAAAATCATAACATTTTTAGATACAACATCTACAAGATGACAATTTATCAGCCAAAGTGTTATCAGGGGAAATGAATATATATTATTCCAAGAGGCCATCTTACTCCACTCCACAGGTAAACTTTTACAGAATGTATAAATTACTTTAGCTTAATATAGATTAAAGTGAAATAGTGTCATTAATGTAAAATACTAAATCTATTCTATTTGGACAATTTAGTTGAATATTTGAATAGACAGACAAAGCAGAATCCCAGTTTATTCGATTACATATAACAGGCACATGAATGCATTTTTAATTGATTATATTTTAATTGAAGTTGTCAACAACACTGAATTCAAACTGAATGTTTTCACAGCGTTATCCTATAGGTTTTATGAATAGCCAAGATGTCTGACATGAACATCTAACTTGTGGAATTACTGAATAAACACAATATAATAATGTTATTATTACATTATTATTATAATATAATAATAACATGTCTTCTGTTCTGAGGGCAGAATAATCTTTTCACTTTAAAGTAAAAACTAGCCTATATTTTTAAACTCCACAAATCTAAAAACATTAATTTGTCCACAAATCCTTCATTAACAAAGACACGAAAACTTTGATATTCAACATACTACCATGATGACAGATCAATACTTTCCACAGACATAAAATTAGATCAGTTAACCTCACAACTGTTTCGACTGACAAAAAATGTTGATATTCAGATGACATGAAAAAATGAAGAAGAGCATAGCCATTCACCAAATGTGTTGAGTTGGGATTTTGTGCAATGTATAGTCAAAAGAAAAAAATACAATATGGTGGTGGGGTCATCTTTTGCACCATCCCACCTTAATAAGAGTAATAATAAACGAATTCACTGATGTCTTAGTGTCATTAATACTGTCACATCTCTGACAGCTCGCCTCTAAGCATTTAATAATGTACGTTACTCAATAGAAAACAATAACAACAGCACTCTTCTCTTCAAAAACAGATTTATAACAATCAATGTCAACTGACACAGTGCGTTCATCCGAGTAGAGATTTGAAACAGCAGACTCGCCATTTGTTTTCGACAGCCAAACATCTCAAGTTGTTTACAATCATCTGTATGTCTGCAGTCAATGCTAACACCTTAGCAAAACACGCGCACATACTTACAGCTCATCACAGAGTGGAGATTCAACTGTTAACACGCAGAGTATGACGTTAACGGTGCAGCTCACCGTAGCTGATTGTGTGAAACGGTAAAATACAGCCTAAACGATCCTGTATTTTCAATTAATCACATCGTAGCACCACAACATCACACACTGACGGGCGCCCCATTTTTGTTTATGTTGCTTGTTTGGCTAGGTCAGGAATGACGTGTTGCCTGTACCGATTCAACCACACCACTTTCGTTATTTAGTGAAAAATGGTTAAATACATCTGATAACTGTATGCAATTTTCATAATAGCACTTATAATAATGGTATATTTTAATATGCATCTCCCCGATCTTAATTTGTTGTCAAAAGTAACAAATACAACTATCGAAAATGCAAAAAGTGAACAGGAAATTTGTTAAGGCTGTGGCGTCACATTTCAATGTCGGCGTACACAAACAATCACCGGTTCTGGTAACGTTTTTAGTCGTTCGCACTGTTTCCACTGCATTTGTGGTCCTCGAATAGATAGATAATTTATTCACCGGGAGATCATTTATATCAAGAGTTAATTGCGTTCGTTTTTGTGTAAAATACTGTACTTTACTGTGCTGGTTACCAGGCGACAAACGGGTTGATTTAACCAGCTCAGTTTGAGATAAATGCTGTTATAAAAATATGTGATTTGGAATGGATAGGCTAGGCTTGTGTTAGCAGCCACGCACTGAAGAAATCAATACAGCGGTGCATGCAGGAACATTTAGCACGTTTCGTTCCCATACCAATTGCTTTTCTATGAATTGCGAATGTTATTAATTAACATATATCATTCAAAAGTAGCCAAGTGTATGTGGGTGTTGGATGGTTTAGTTATTGGCACAGCATTGCATGACACTCGCTGACATTCACATGTGCCATTTGTCCATAGGTCCTCCTGAGTGTGTGGAATGGCAATCTCTATTGCGATCCTAGACTGTGACCTGCTGCTGCATGGTCGAGGGCACAAAACACTGGATCGATTTGATATCGAGACAGTGTCGGATGAATTTCTGCTGACAACATTCGGCTTCCCACGTGAGTTCATTTATTACCTGGTGGAACTACTAAAGGACAGCTTGTTGAGACGGACACAGAGGTCACGAGCCATTAGTCCAGATGTTCAGATACTCGCAGCGCTGGGATTCTACACAACCGGCTCCTTCCAGAGCAAGATGGGAGATGCGATTGGCATCAGCCAGGCATCCATGAGTCGTTGTGTGTCTAATGTCACTAAAGCTCTGATTGAGAAAGCACCAGAGTTTATTGGCTTCACTAGGGATGAGGCCACCAGGCAGCAGTCTAAAGAGGAGTTTTACAGAATAGCAGGAATTCCCAATGTCATGGGAGTAGTGGACTGTGCACATATAGCCATTAAAGCTCCCAATGCAGATGACTCTTCCTATGTAAATAAAAAAGGATTTCACTCAATCAATTGCCAATTAGTATGTGATGCCAGAGGACTGCTGCTGAGCGCTGAGACACATTGGCCGGGTAGTCTGACAGACAGAGCTGTCTTTAAGCAGTCCAGTGTGGCAAAGCTATTTGAAGAGCAAGACAATGACGAAGGTTGGCTTTTAGGTAAGACCCATAGTGAGACCTATTCTTGACATTCCCAAAGAATTCTATGGTATTGTTTACCTGTGAAAATGTCCATGTGTTTTCTGTCTCTGGCCTCCAGGTGACAACCGGTACCCTCTAAAGAAGTGGTTGATGACTCCAGTGCAGAGTCCGGAGTCCCCTGCTGACTACCGCTATAACGTGGCCCACACAACGACACATGAGATTGTGGACCGCACGTTCAGAGCCATTCAGACACGTTTCCGGTGCCTGGATGGGGCAAAGGGTTACCTGCAGTATTCCCCAGAGAAATGCTCCCATATCATCCAGGCCTGTTGTGTGCTACATAATATTTCCCTGCAGTCCGGCCTTGATGCCTGGACTTTTGAGAGGACTGAGGCCACGGACCAATCAGGGGAGGATATCGATCCCACTGACACTGTCGATCCAGAGGCTCTAAGAGTTCGACAGGAAATCGTCCAAAATCATTTCAGCTAGGACGGAATTTGGGATTCACCATTTAATTATTTTTAATCGTTAATACACATGCCATTGCCTTTTTTTTTTTGTTAAATGGTTAGTTCACCCAAAAATTAAGTTTCTGTCAGTAATTACTCACCCTCATGTCATTCCAAACCTGTAAGACCTTCGTTCATCTTCAGAACACAAATTAAGATATTTTTGATGAAATCTGAAAGGTTTCTGAACCAGCCATAGGCAGCAGCGTCATTGCAACTTTCATGGCCCAGAAAGGTAGTAAAGACATCGTTAAAATAGTCCATGTGACTACGGTGGTTCAACCTTAATGTTATGAAACGACGAGAATACTTTTTGTGTGCAAAAACAAACAAAAACAACGACTTTATTCAACAATTTCTTCTCTTCCCTGTTAATCTCCTACGCTGTTGTGAACACAGTGCATCGCTTCCGAGTTCTATGGCAGAACGGTGGCTCAGTATTGGCCAACGCTGTTCGCGTGAGCACTACGACGCATGCGTGTGATGCTGACGCAGGAGCTGGCCAATGGTGAGCCGCCGTTCTGCCGTAGAACCCGGAAGCGATACACTGTTTACAACGTCAACAGCGTAGGAGATTAACACAGAAGAGAATACATTTTTGAATAAAGTCGTTGTTTTTGTTTGTTTTTGCGCACAAAAAGTATTCTCGTCGCTTCATAACATTAAGGTTGAACCTCCGTAGTCACATGGACTATTTTAATGATGTCTTTACTACCTTTCTGGGCCTTGAAAGTTGCAATGACATTGCTGCCTATGACTGGTTCAGAAACCTCTCGGATTTCATCAAAAATTTGTGTTCCGAAGATGAACAAAAGTTTTACGGGTTTGGAACGAAGGTGAGTAATTAATGACAGAAATTTCATTTTTGGGTGAACTAACCCTTTAAGGGATAGTTCACCCAAAATGAAAATTGTCACTTATCATTTACTCCCCCTCATGTCGTTCCAAACCTATATGACTTTCTTCTGCGGAACACAAAATATGATATTTTTAAGAATGTTGGTAATTAAACAGTTTTAGTGACAATTGATCCCATTGTATGCACAGAGGAAAAACACTGAGACGTTTCGCTTAATGTTCCACAGAAGAAAGAAAGTCATACGGTTTTAGAATGACATGAGGATACGTACTTTTCATTTTTGGGTGAACTATCCCGAATGTGTTGTTTCGTTACTCTGTATTGGTCCTGTGAACACACACACAAAACGCAAAGCTGGAGTCTTTTTTAAACTTCGGCAATTTACTAGTACTTTAGGAATGATATGAAAATAGACAGGGGTTTTTATTACAGATTATTATCATTTTAACATCCTTATTGATATTTTACTAAAAAAAACATTGACCTGTAAAAAGAAGAAATCAATAAATTAAACCTCAACAGTATCGTGTCTGTTTATATATTTGTTTCAAAACTTGCTTTTAACAGCTTACTTTCCAAACAAGGCAAACTTCTTGTTAGTTATTTATGATCTCAGCTCTTTTCAGATTAAACTAGTGAATTTTGTTTTAGATCATGTACCTTACCTATTATGAGTTCCGTCCTCTCACAGATATCCCAATGATGCTGTTTAATCTGAGTAAAAGATATATCGGGGCCAGAATAGAAAGCTTTTAATTTTACCCCGGGTTAATTAATGGTTTTGTTGGCGGCAAGACCAAGTAGACTGCTCTGCTGCTCCGGAGGCTCGACTGTCAAAGGCGATAAATCAGATGGTTGTTTAATGAGTCTCGCAGTCGAGCCCGGTGATGAATGTGTGGAATAAATAGAGAGACCGCGCCGAACAATGACGTAGGCCTTCTGTCCGGTGTGTGTGTGTGTGTGTGTGTGTGTCTAATGTCATTACTAAAAGAAGACATCCGGAGAGCTGAGAAGCAGCAGAATCTGCAGCATATGAACTCCACAAGAGTCTCCACTGGAACACAATGATATAGAGTCAAGCGTTGCTCGTTTGCGCTTCGCACTTTTAACTTTCGGGAGCAAAGTAAGTATTTCTGGAAGGGTTTGTTTCATTCTTTAACACTGTACCTTGTATTTTAACTTTGTATTAGATTCAGAGTTGCATCTATGCCGCAGTTATCTGTCATGTCTAGCGTCCCGCAAGTTCAGCCACGCTTAACCCGTGGGAAAATTCGCATCTGTTACATATATTGGCTGCAGTCATTTATTGCCTGAGTGTTATACTATTCAGATATAATATTATCAGTGATCATGTCTGTACGGAAGATGCTGAGGGCGAAGCTCGTTGTGCTGGGAAGAGATAACTGTGGGAAGACAGGTAACACTGCAGTGTTATTGGGTTCAATGATTATATATTATATCTCGACGACTGTAATAACTCTGTTTTTCTCTTTTGAACTCCAGCTCTGTGTGTCAGATTCATCACCAGGCGTTTTATTGGAGAGTATGAACATAAAAGGGGTAACACAAATTAAATACTTACACACTGATGATCTGTTGACCATGTGAAAACATACCTCCCCTATCATTGTAAAGCAACAGAATATAGCCCTTTTCACTCTGTATACATTTGTGTAACTGTATTGCAGTTGAGTTCAGTGCATCATATGACATGCCATACACTTTTTGTGTCTCAGAGGTCACCTACAGGTGTCAGAAAATCGTGGAGAAGGAGGCGATTGAACTGGAGATTTTAGACACTGTTAATAAGGTACAGTGTACTTGAGATGATATCTTACAGTGTTAGCTCTTACCTATTAAGGGACCATCTCTTTGTGACTGTGCATCTGCTGGCGTGCTGTTCTACACGCATATTTATCCACAGGATGATCTTGCCTTGTCAAACGGCTGATGAGACACAGGACTCTCTGAACCATTCCATTCCTTTCATGTCTGCTGGGCTGAATCTCAGGCTGGTGGAGCGGCTTTAACAGCCTGCCTGCCATTGATCATGTTACACAGTAGAGAGCGGCACATGTTAATTCATAGGATTAGAATGAAGCATTACCATCTGTGTGAGTGCAGTAGAGTAGCGGGTCTGATATTCTGGATGACTCCCTTATGTGACACACCCAGTACTTATGAGCTGATGATATAAATCAGGTGTGTTGAAGGCATATTTTATCCAAAAATGAAAATTCTGCCATCATTTACTCATTCTCTTGTCGTTCCAAACCTGTATGACTTACTTTCTTCTGCGGAACACAAAAACATACAGTATAGACCACATTGAAGCATTGTATGCTTTTTTCCTTATATACAATGAAAGACAGTGGGGTCCAAAATAACTTTGGACTCCATTGACTCATTATATGGACAAAAATATCAAATTTCAAAATATCATCTTCTGTATTCCACAGGTGCCAATAAGATGGAACAACATAGGGGTGAGTAAATAATGACATAGTTTTCATTTTTGGCTTTACTATCCTTTTAGATAATGACAAAATCTGCAGTGCGGGGGGACTCAAAGACCAGGATTGGGAACTCCATTTGAGAAGCAGGAGGTTTTGGTTTGTGGGAATTTAGTTCACATCCTTTGTGCTCCAGAATTGCATTCAGAATCACATCTGTGAAAGTCTAGATGTGCGTCATCTCTATCCTCACTGCATCGCACACATTCACTCACATGCAGGAGATGAAGAACTATTCAAATGTGTGAATCTGTTTGTGTTCAGGAGTGTGTAGGACCTGCTGTGTCCTCTCTGGAGAGTTCCATTAAATGGGGCGATGGGTTCCTCATCATGTACTCCGTGACGGATCGCAGCAGTTTTGAGGCTGTGTCGCGCCTGAAGAGACTGATTGACCATGTTAAACAAACGCTCGGTAAGGCCTATCAGACTGTGAATGATCACTCTGGGAGCATAGTGACTGAGGACAAATAGTAACAATATTCTGTTATTAGCACTTTTTCGAGCAGTCATGTTTATGTGTACGGACCCTCCAACTAGTGAATAGCGCTGTTATCCATCAGTGTGACTCAGCCTGCCTTAATTGGTCTCAGTTCAGAGATTTCACCTCAGGCATGAACTCTTAATATAGTACACTGCAGTCTGTGAGTGTGAGTTTGTTAATGACAGATAGATACGTGGAAAGAGATAAAGAGAGAGAGAAAGTATCACAACACTGCAGTCTTTTATTATACCATCCATCTCCAGGTACTGTCATTTTAATGGTAGTCTGTTCTTCTTCAGAGCTACAGCATCCATTACTTCATTCTGTGTATGTCTTTGCGTGTCTTCCAGGTATTCCAACAGTCATTGTTGCCAATAAATGTGACATGGAGAACGGCCGAGTGGTGAGGACGGATGAGGGACAGGTTTTAGCCTCGGACCTCGGGTCAGTATGCTTTGCTCTCACTGATAACTGCACAGGTTCATGATAGTAAGATAGTTTGATAGTATGAAGTATATACAAATATAGGTTAATATAACTGAATTGTTTAACCCTAGAATGCTTAAAGGAGGTAAAATTAACCCAGTAGGGTGTTGGTTTTTGGAAACATTTTTGGTCACACTTTATTTTAAGGTGTATGTGTTACAGTGTAATTATGCATTGAAGTACTGAGTATTAATAATTAACTACATGTACTTACTATGGGGTTAGGGATTGGTTTAAGGTTAGTTGCATGCAATTATGCATAATTTATACTACAGTAACTACATGTAACGTGTAACAAGGACACTGTAAAATAAAGTGTTACCACATTTTTTTTCTAATAAAATAATTAATTCCTTGATATTCCATGTGTTCTTCATAAATCTTTTATGTGAGAATCAGCCATGCCATTTACATGTGTTTGACGTACACTACCAGTCAAACGTTTTGGATCTGTAAGATATTTAATGTTTTTAAAATCTCTTCTGCTCACCAAGGCTGCATTTATTTTATTAAAAATACAAAAACAACAGTAATATTGTGAAATATTATTACAATTTAAAACAGCTGTTTTCTATGTGAATATATAGTAAAGTGTAATTTATTCCTGTGATGAAAGCTGAATTTTCAGCATCATTACTCCAGTCTTCAGTGTCACATTGTAACACTCTCAATATATTGACAGTGTTACAACATGATCCTTCAGAAATTATTCTAATATGATGATTTGATGCTCAAGAAACATTTATCTTTATTATCAATGTTGAAAACAGTCTGTGATGAATATAAAGTTCAAAAGAACAGCATTTATCTGATATAGAAAGCTTTTGTAATATTAAACACTACCGTTCAAAAGTTTGGGGTCAGTAAGAATTTTTATCTTATTTTTTGGGGGAAATAAATATAAGAAATCAATACTTTTATTAATCAAGAATCAATTAAATTGATCAAAAGTTACAGTAAAGACATTTATAATGTTACAAAAGATTCTATTTCAAATAAATGCTGTTCTTTTGAACTTTCTATTCATCAAAGAATCCTGAAAAAAAAAAAAAATTTGTACACAACTGTTTTCAACATTGATAATAATAATGAATATTTTTTGAGCATCAAATCTGCATATTAGAATGATTACTGAAGGATCATGTGACCTGAGGACTGGAGTAATGATGTTGAAAATTCAGCTTTGATCACAGGAGTAAATTACATTTCAAAATACACTCACCTAAAGGATTATTAGGAACACCTGTTTAATTTCTCATTAATGCAATTATCTAATCAACCAATCACATGGCAGTTGCTTCAATGCATTTAGGGGTGTGGTCCTGGTCAAGACAATCTCCTGAACTCCAAACTGAATGTCAGAATGGGAAAGAAAGGTGATTTAAGCAATTTTGAGCGTGGCATGGTTGTTGGTGCCGGACGGGCCGGTCTGAGTATTTCACAATCTGCTCAGTTACTAGGATTTTCACGCACAACCATTTCTAGGGTTTACAAAGAATGGTGTGAAAAGGGAAAAACATCCAGTATGCGGCAGTCCTGTGGGCGAAAATGCCTTGTTGATGCTAGAGGTCAGAGGAGAATGGGCCGACTGATTCAAGCTGATAGAAAAGCAACTTTGACTGAAATAACCACTCGTTACAACCGAGGTATGCAGCAAAGCATTTGTGAAGCCACAACACGCACAACCTTGAGGCGGATGGGCTACAACAGCAGAAGACCCCACCGGGTACCACTCATCAATATGGGCCAACATTTATCAATATGGTATTTATCAATATTTATCAATATTGATAGCTATCCTATCAATATGGGCCAACATTTCTAAAGAATGCTTTCAGCACCTTGTTGAATCAATGCCACGTAGAATTAAGGCAGTTCTGAAGGCGAAAGGGGGTCAAACACAGTATTAGTATGGTGTTCCTAATAATCCTTTAGGTGAGTGTATATTAAAATGGAAAACAGTTATTTTAAATTGTCATAATATTTAACAATATTATTATTTTTTGTTTGTATTTTTAATCAAATAAATGTAGCCTTGGTGAGCAGAAGAGACTTCTTTTAAAAACATTAAAAATCTTACCGATCCAAAACTTTTGAACGGCAGTGTAGCTTCATAAATAATTATTAACATTTTTGTATTACTACCGCAAATCAAAATTACAGAATGACACCATATGCATTTCCAATTAAATATTCACTCACCTTGTTTTTTGGGCAAAATAATAATATTTATAGTAATATTTTATAATAATATTTAACAATAATATAAATATATTTGATTATAATAATTACAATTAATTCCTATACACTTCATGGATTACTCACAATTTCCTAAATTAAAAGGGGCAATTTATTTACTACAGAATTTTGTCATAATAATAATAAGATAATCACTTCACTACCAGATATTCAATTCACTACCAGTCAAAATTCTAAGCACACTTTTTAGATGATCTTCAATGGCCCTGTTACATCACTTACTATTTGGATGTGAAGGTTTAGCTGTGTGTGTTAAAGTTAAGGTTTCACTGGTGATGTAGGTGCAGTTTCTTTGAGCTGTCTGTAGCAGAGGACACTTCAGCAGTGGAGGCTGTGTTCGGGCAGCTGGTGTGTGAAGTGCGGCAGGAGTTTCAGCGACACTTGCTGGCTATGGACAAGCGCTCACGGATGCTGCAGATGAGGCATGCGCTCAAAAACAAACTCACACGGAGTAAAACCATGCAATGGTGACAAGGACTAAATGCAGTTCAGACCTGACAACTATAGTGCTGTGTCCTGGCATGACTACCTTTCAGAGAAGAACAAGTGCCTTTTGGGTGTCCAAATACCATCATGGACAGTGTTATCTGTATGTTTATGTCAGACAGCAATAAGCAGCAGTGTGTTTTTTAAAGGTGCAGTGTGTAATGAATGTGCCACTGGCAACACCAAACAATGACTGTTAAAACGGACTAACAGGTAGTCCCAACTCAAACTTTTGCCACTGATTGAGCTAGAAGCTGATGTGTCGGACCAAAAAACAAAATGTTGATACCCACTCTCTGTGCATTAAACTGGTTTAAGAGAAAGTAGATCCTTTAATGTCTATAAAGGATCCATTTGACCACTTGAGCTCAGTGTACTGCTTTTGCATCACTATTACTGTAAGTAGCGGCCTTTCAGTGCAACATTCATTCTGTATTTAAATTTCATTTTATGTGTGAGAAGTCATAAATGCATATTTATAGGCACTGGATTCATTCTTGTCTAGTATTATTAAGTCGTGTCTAAAATGACATGATCTATGTCTGGCAGATGATGATCTATGTCTTGTAACTTGGTATTTTGATGCTGTTTTTCATTCTTATGTGCCTCTATGATATTGAAATGTCATGAGGGGACAGAACCAATCATGTGATATTTTCCATTTTAGGCAGCTGTTTTTAGACTTTCTATATTCTGGCAGCATGCACAATTCACTCTGTGGAGAAAAATGTTTCCAAAATGGGTTACAGTATGGCTTTGTGGTTGTATTCTTTACATGTATTAGTATTAGTGTTAAAATATCCATTTGTTGCTTAATGTAAAATGCATCTAGAGAGAAAAACAGACTATTTAATTTACAATTTTATTTAGCAAAAATGGTAAAAATAAATAAATACAAATTGATCAAATGCTCCAGTAATAACCAGCCTCCTCAACAGAAAGAATTCATGAAGTTATATATTCAAATAACTTACACATGGACTTGAATTCTATGAGAAAAGGTAAACAGACATCAGGCAACACACAAGATTAAGAAACAAAACATACAAAAATGTTAGAAAACTAAAAAAAAATTAAACAAAAGAGCAATACACATCCCTTTCAAAAACCATTATGAAATAATCTAGACAATTTTATACAACAAATTGATGTAAATTGTGTTTTTAATTTATAGTAAAGGACATTAGATTAAGCACTGATACTTTCACGGTGCAATAATCTATCCTTAATTTTACTTGAGGGGTTCATCAACCTGAATGAGGTAACAGCATGAGGTGCAAGAATGTGACTCTTAATAAGCATTACTATGCGTGTTGAAAACATGAACAAAAGCCTGAGCTCTCGGTAAACACTATAATATCTGAGGAAATCAGATTTCACACACTTCAGGACACAATACCCAATTCTTATGTGTAAGGAACATGAATGAGGAGACACAGTAGATTCCCATCTATCTCATCAGAGAACATCTGTCACAGAAGCTCTGTCAGTCCTACTAGCCACATCTGGCCTCAGGATTCATGGCCCTAAAGGACGGGAGATGACATTTGCAAATGTCACATCTGATGAGCATTTATGTAAGGGCTCTTTTCCCTTTTATTTATTTTTTAAATGCACCGAGAAGCCTGACAAACCACCAAACAGAACGCAGCTTCTCTGCATGTTACTTGGGAATTTTCGCAATTGTGATGAAATACTTCTTAACTTTCATCAGACAAAATGTGTGAATACTTCTGTGACTGTTGAAACATTTGCTGAATTCGGAACCGCATACTACTCTTCCTATTTCTGCCGTAGAAAGAGATGGTAAGAGTAGTTTTCAGCACTAGTATCCTCTTGAAAACTCAGATGCCTTATAAAATGAAGGACAGATACCCAGATCATCAGACTGGAATGGAATCGTTTTAACTAAAAGTAAAGTCTTTTCATAAAAACGTGAACGAACATACCAGCAATTAATTTTGTGTATTGTTAAAAGACATAAGCACTTCAGATCTTATGTGTAGAGTTCAGATTCACTACAGGCAGCGCAGGCACTGTCCTCACTAACACAACCAGAATGATCACACACTGTATGACAAAGTAGGTTCTGTTACGGAAAAGGGAAAAAAACACTCGTTTTGCTGACAACTGACTAAGACACAGACAAGTCATAACACTACTATGAAACAGCCTAACATAGTCTATAGAACTTAAGGCAACCAATACACAGAGGCTACTGCAGGCCAGAGCTGCATGTTCAGCATTGAAAACACTCACAAACCTGAAATGAAGATATAAACACTGTAGATATTTCTGTATTTTATCAAAAGCGACGCACCCCTTGTGTGTTCGACACCACTGTTTCTGGATTATTTCTTGTGCTTTTTAAAAACACTATGGAAGTGTCATCTTGGCACATGATCCAGTGTTCAAGCTACCGCAGCTGTATCTCAGGTGTTACAAGTGTTTGTCTGTGCTTGTTCATGTGCAGTCACACACTGTGAAATATACAGTGGTGAGAGAGCGTTAGAGAAATGTAAAGAAAGTAAAGCGTTAACAGAACAGCCCCTAGGAGACAATGGTGAAGTAGTTGCGCTAGGCACGTATAACGTACGCCTGCTGTGTTGTGCTTTTGGACAGGTTTACAGAACAGTGTTGTCACCAAGTAAAGTGACACCATGCGTGTTAAAACGATACAGAACAGAAGCCCTTAAATTGGCCCATAAGCATAACGTTACTGGCACACCGGTTTTACGGGATATTTCTGACTGCATGATTCCTCGTAAGTCGTTGGACAAGGCATGAGACCCCTGCTACAGTCTGGGTAAAAAAAAACAACCTAAAAAGTCTTCTGGATGTGGAAATGAGAGTGACGTGAGAGAAGTCTCAAATCATTCCCTTCTGTGATTGCGCTTGAACGGCGCACTCAGTAAATCACATCTGGTCAGTAGATAAGGCATGGTCAGAATTTACCTCACAGACACTTCAGGACTGACACTACAAATACTACTCTACTACTCTTAAATATCTATTTAATGTTCAGAGTAACATAAAAGAATAGTTCCCTGTGGCATCGATTATTTGGCAGAACAGAACTACAGAATATTTTTGTAAGAAAGAAGAAAATTATAAATAAGGTCATGTGTAAAAATAGCAAAACATATTTACAGAAATGTTGTTTTCGGGTTTTAAAAACACCACAAAGTAGACAAATGCAAATGATAATAGTTAAACCTCCAGCAGAACACCTGGAAGACCTGTATTTCTGTCAGTGTGATAAAGAACCTGTTTTTACAACAGAAAACTAGACGAAACAACTGCACCTCGGCTGCGTTTCACAGACAAAACGGATACTAAACTCCTCGACGCGTCATATCTTATGTCTTAGATCAGAGCTACAGGACCTGATAGGAAGCTGCACTACTCATCTAGCAGGACGAGACCTTTCCCCGATCCAGCCTTCAGAAGCTTTCCCACTCAGAGGTGCTATGGCAACTGTATCAGGCACACAATGGTGTGATATCTTTAAATTTTATTACTCTTTTCTATATCATTATTCTTTGTAGAAATCTTTTCGGTGTGCATACGTTAGCATACACATTGCTGGTACTTTAGGAACCTCCTTCCTGCATGTAGTAAATGGCACTATGGATTTTCTTTCCCTCATAGATACAAGAGATGAAACAACAACACAAAACAACAACACTGTTAACTGGCACGCTTTGGGGTGGTCAATGCTATTTTACCCCCTCTGTCACTTCTGTAAGGGGTACGATCGGGCCGAGGAGGCCCTGTGGGATGACGCTGAGGTCACTGTTGTTATTGTTTTTATGTTTTTTTGTACCCTCCTCCCCGGTGGGCATGGTTCCATTGGTACTCAGAACTGCCTGGTTACTGCTGTTATTGCTGAAAGCTGTGGCGTTTGCATTTGTGGGCTCGCTCCTGATTCTGGACGTGCTGATGATTTGTGCGTTCTCCTCACTGCCCTCATCGCTCTTTGCGCTTGCAGCCTCGACGTTATTATTAGTGGCGATCTGGTTTAAGGTATCGCTTGTGTTTGTGAGGGGGCCAATTATAATCATAGCTTCTGAGGAGCTTGTTGCGGTATTTGTGTTGTTGTTTGTGTCTGTGGTGACCGCACTGGAGCTGCTGGCTTTGGAAGCTCCATTGTGGGACATTTCTCCGTTAGCCATGAGCCCAGGGCAGATGAAGGGAGACAACTGGATCCCTCTGATCAGACGCACCAGCCCTTTCATCTTCTCAAGCGAAGCCTCCATCTCTCTCTGCTGGGCCAGTACGCTGTTCTTGCTGTCCATACATCTCTGTGAAGGGAGAGAGGACAGTGCTGCTGACTCATACAACCAAAATCTCATCATTATACAGTTATGGAGGTACGGGATGAATTAACATCACATTTAGATTTCACATGTAATTTCAGTGGTATGACTCATCGCGCAGAGGAAAAGTGGATGATATGAACTTAAGGATTCTCTCACCGTTATAGAGTTGCTGAGATGGCCGACTTGGTCTTCTAGTGTCTCTCTCTCCTGCCGCAGCTCTGTGCTCCATGTCTTCAGACGATCTTTCTCTCCCTCTTTAGCTGCGGGGAAATGAGTGCATGCGTAAATCTCAACAGAAGGCACAAGTCGGGTTCTGGAAGTAAACATCCCATTCATTTCCCCCACAGGATTTTTTTTTAAACAATTCTGTAGAAACTTTGCGAGACAGACCAACCATGATTGTGGTCAGAGATATCTTTTTCACTCATTTGTCCATTTTGGTATAATGTTAATTTATAAATATGCTCTTGGTCGGATCATGTTCATTCTTAATGATTCTGCATTATTTTAAAAGGGCACTTAAATTATGCAAAATTCACTTTCACATGGTGTTTGAAAATACAGTAAATGTGTGTTGACAGTGTGTGTACAAACCACCCTATAATGATAAAAATCCACCCAGTGCTTTTTTTTAATGCACATAAATCATAAGCAGTGTCTCCGAGCAAGCCGTTTTCAGATTCGGGGCAATGTGACGTCCTTTTGCACAAGCCCCTGTAAGACTGAAGAAAACTGGTTGAAGCTGGAAATTAACATTTGGCTTCCCCCCTCTTCCCCGGAGACAAAAGTCTCACCTCATCTACATTTCATTCTCTCTCAGTGACGCATACAAACTCACATAAGAATATGGTTTAATGTGAATGATTATCATTGAGTATTTTGTTTAGTATAATTTAAACTGCAGGGTGAGTGGTACAGATGTCTCATTTCCAAATTGGTAAAACAAAAGCTAATAATTTTTTTTAGAAGTTTAGAGATGACACACAAAGGAAGGTGGACTCTATGCAAATGGCCTTTCTCCCCTACCCCCAAAATAAGGTGTAACCTGAATGCAAATTACCATTGTAAAGAAGTTCTGGCTATTTAATGGAATGCAGCAAGGAGTCGTGGCTCTTTCTGTATCTCAGATCAGCCCGTGAGGTTGGCTCATGTAGTTCTTAAATGTTGGGTTTGCATCTATTTCTCTTATCCTAAAGCATTTGATGTCCTGTATCGATGATCTTTGAACTGATTATGAAATTGGCATAATACTTTTACCTGACATAATAAATTGTTATATTTGATTATTCTAACAGACTTTGACTTCATTTCCATTGGAGTTAAAAGGAATAGTCAAACATTAACGTATATTTAATGATATCATTGAAAAACTTTTTCATTTTTTGGAGTCAGATGAAACGAGTTAATACATAAGATAAAATGTATTGCATTTAATTAAAAGTCCCTTTACCATGGGAAGAGACGGAACACGCATGAGACCTTCACCGCTAATTTGAATGCCGCCATTGGATCGAATTAGATGGACTTACACCCCACCCACAACTGTTGACTGACACCGTCGTATTACCATAGACCCCGCCCTGAGTGAGCTGTACACAGACCGCCATTGTTTCGACGCCAGAGCAGCTGTAGACAAGAATGTCTTCTAAGCGATTGAGGTGTTTTGTTGTTGGATGTAAGAATGAACATAGCAGTCTAAATGCGTTTCTACCTAAATGCGTTTATGTTTGCACAAATCATTTTAAACCAGACTGCTTTGTGAACGAGGGTCCGTACAAAGCAGGCTTTGCCAAAAAGCTGTTACTCGAGGATGGATCAGTACCAACTGTTGTGTTTTTGATCCAGCTTAGTCTCCAGATCAGTCGGCAGTAATGAAAGGTAGAAAACGCACTTTATTACAGTTCATCAGAGTCGTTTTACGGATATAAAGTTTTTCAGTTTATTAAGCACCCACTGAAAAGGTCTGTATATATTTGTTTACTGTTAATTGTAACAAGTGTTTGTGTGTAATTCGCGGTGTACATTGATGATAATGCAAGGGAGAGAGAGAGTTTATGGATAAGACTTTAATGCGCAATTCTTGCACTGTTTTACTCAGCTCTTACAGTGATTTTCTGTGCTTCATCCTTTGTGTGAAGAACAATAAACTTCAGATAAAAGCAAGATGACAAATATGTTATAACCGTAATTAAACTAAACTATACCTGTTCTATCTCCATGCAGAATATATTCTTTGGCTCTGTAAGCATTATTGTCCGACTCTGGTTCAAAATGAACACTGCTAGTACAGTTTCTGTTCTGACATTTTCATTCAGTGAGATGAGATGTCCTGCCACTGAAGAATGAGCTCTTGAAGCTCCGCCCTCTTCTTGAAAGTGGGCAACATGCAGCAGCTCATTTGCATTTAAAGGGACATACACAAAAAGCCGCGTTTTTGCTCACCCCCCAAAAAGTGGCAATTTTAACATGCTGTAAAAATGATCTATGGGGTATTTTCAGCTAAAACTTCACATACACACTCTTATTTTACATCTTGTAAAAAGGGGCATAATAGGTGCACTTTAATATTAAAGGGGTCATAAATTGAGAAATCAAATTTTCCTTGATCTTTTGACATGCAAGAGGTCATTGTACTATATAAACATCCTGTAAGTTTCAGAACTCCTCTGTTACTTTCTCGTTAGTCCAAAAACAGCTTTTATTAAAACCAAGCTCCGAAGAAGTCTCATTTCAGATTTTGTCACATTATGACGTAATAGTGTGACTAAAGAAAGACCTCCTCTGCAAAATCAGATCAACGTCATTCACAGCGCGAGTTTATCGGTGACTGAGTTCTGGACTCTCGCCAAAACTCCAGTTAATCAATGACGCTGTCTACACTGCACAACGAATCCCTAATTTACATTGTGTTTGCACTGTTAGTTATGATGAAAGCGTTCGTGAGAATGCAGAAATAGAGTTGCAATGACAAGATCACTGCATTCATGCACTCATACTGTCGGTCATCGACTACAACGCTTATCACTGCAACATTTCATGAGACGGGAGTAGATCTAAATATAATGAAATAATCAAAACTTTTCACGATTAGTTAATGTCAAAAACAACTGTCATAGTAAAACGTAGTAAAATTTTTGAGAGAGTTCAACATGTGATGCTTATTTTATATGCAAAAATGTTAGCCAATCATAGCAGTGATGATGATTCTGATGTTTCTGACTGACAAATTGCTTTGTACATTGTTTAACAGCATTAAGCAAGTTAGCATTTTCTAGCATTTACATATTTACTTCAACTGCACAGGTAATGTCAATGGTATGACCAATTTCAGCAACATCTAAAAATGAAGATACATTTCTATAGCTCTGACTGATGTTATATTGTAATTTTGGAAGTAGACCTTCATAATACAAGAGGGCTACATTCTACAACGTTTTTTGACGTGCTTCTGGGGCACCCTAAAGGCCTGTTCACACCGAGACAAATATTCTGTGTGAAAAACATTTTATGTTTTGTGAGATAAACATTTTAATTTGAATTAATGGTAGTTAATGTGTCTGACAGAATGTGAATGTTCATGACCGTCTGAACAATGGTGTTCACTGCAAATAAAACTGGTCAAAAATCTAAGTTTGTAATGTAATTCATTTCAGAGCTGTTTGGTTTGGTTCATGACTTGAAGAATAAATAAAATGAATGGAAAAATACTGCCAGTACCAAAGCTGCAGAAAAAATAAGTGGTTGCTGCTATTCTATAGTTCTAGGACAGCTTTTCCAAAGATCAGAGATTTACTGGTACATTTCATAACAGACTCATAAAAAGAAACTTTGTTCCGTTTTAAACTCCTAACTCAAGACATTTTTGAACAATCTTACATCACATTCTGTGTCATGCAGGTTGACTGTTCTAGGTATCATCAGTTGTACGTGAAACTTCTCACCTGCTTTATAAGAGATGTAGGAATGGACAATAGCAAGAGTCCCTGGCCACTCAATGGCATCTTCCTTCTGCAGAATCTAAAGAAAACATGTACTGAATGGTACTGAAATACACAACTGTTAACAGTCTGCATTCAAAGTGATACACACAAAAACATGATCATTTAAAATGAATGTGGAAATGAATGCATAGTAGTGAAAACAAATGAAGTGGCAAGACATGAGGCTACCTAAACTTACAAAGTTGAGCAGCCTTGACGCAAATTTCTGGTTTTCGGTGTACTTAGAGTGAATATTGGTGAATTTTACTAAGTTTTTGTAGCCCTGCATCAAATCAGGGGTCCTGAGCAACAGAACTGTGACGTCTCAGGCAGATATGCATGCCCTTATGAAGCCCAGATGATTTATATGTGAGCAATAGGGATGTAACGATTCACTCGCAACCGGTTGAAAATCGATAAAAATGTGTGACGATTCAAGTCGGTTGAAATGTTAAACGAATCGCGATACACGTTTTAAACAGCAGGGCGCGTTTACTATAGCCTACTGTGAAGTTGTGAACCTCGCTTTACAATAGCACAATAGCAGCGAGCACACACTGGCGTGAAGCTAGCGAGTGTTTTCACTTCATTCATGGAACTTGATCTTGTGTGAGCCAAGCTCAACTTCCATAGGAATGAACTGAAAACGCTCGGTTTGCTCCGCTCGCGCCGCACCAGTGTGTGCCATAGACTGGTGTGCACGTGCCGTCAAACAGTAGACATGGCTTTGGCGACGGCAAGCGTAGATGTTGACGTTGACTCATTCAAATCGGAGGTGTGGCGGCATTTTGACTTTCCGTAGACTAATAATAATCACCACCGTGAGTAACACCAGTCACCTCCGTTTTCATGTAAAAGTCATTAATACTACAATTGCGAGAGCCACGGAGATCACAAGGTGCATCAGTGTTTCCGTGGCAACCAGGTGTTGTATTTATTTTACTATCTCTTTCTCTAAATGTGTTTTTTTTTTACTCTTACTAGTGTAATGATACAAATTATAACAAAATTAGAATCTTGCCTTTATTACAATGTAAAACCCCTGTCAATCTGGTACTACTAATTTTACACAGTCTTTTACATAGTGTGCGAAGGTACCAGTGTCCAGCCTCTTGACCAAACAGACAGAAAGACTGAGTTGAAACAACCTTGAAGGGAATTTTTTTAATGTAGTTTTATTATTTGAGAAATATATTTTAAATTAAAAAGAAATGTGCAGCATTTTGTCTGAGAAATAATAAAAGGGACACTTTTGTCTTAAATCGCATTTGTTAAAAAAATCGTGAGAAAATCGTATCGTGAAACCAGTATCGTGAATCGTATCGCATCGTGAGATGAGTGAATCGTTACATCCCTAGTGAGCAAGTATCACATATGAGACGCTGCCCACTCCACCTCATGACATCAGCTGCCAAATACTGACTCATCAATCAACATCATTATACTTATTAGCCCCTTTCACACATACAGTTTCTACTGGTAAATTACCATCAGGAGATCATGTGTGAACAGGATCTTTTCTGACACTTTTTTCTTTATGAGAAGTTGTAACAATACCAGCAAATTACCAGTATGATGCTGTGTGTGAACAAATAATGAAGATTACCGGTATGAGAACGTACGAAGTTAGAACGCGCTGACGTAAGAAGTTTGCTTTGGGCCAATCATAAAGCTCTGTAGGAGCTGTTTACAGTAAGTTCTGCTGCTTTTAATTGCTTTTCTATATAAAAATGCACTAAACGAACATCTGACCATTGCGCCACATCTCGCACTCGAGACCCTGGCTTCTACTATTCTCTGAATGTCCTAGTACTATAGTGACTGCAGTACCATAACTATTATGTGCCTCGTGTATTTAAGAGCAGAACCACGTTCTGTGTGATCATCTCCTTACGCCGGTCACTCAGAAGTAAAACAAAATGTAACTAAAATGAAACTAAAGCGCTTCTCATCCAGGTGGATGAATCAAATGGGTAATTTCCGATGACTGACATGACAGAGTTTACTGGTACTGATGTGCAAATGGTATCTTACCAGTAAAAAGACACAACGTTGTTGCTTATGTGAATAGCACATGTGTGTATTTACCGGAAAAGTTGTTCTGGTCATTTTACGGCAATTTACCAGGCTTGCTGTGAAAGGGGCTTTTGTCTCTATTCCATTGTAAATTGTGCTTGTTTTTAAAAAAAGAACATTTTTGGTGGGTCCAGGTTAAACAGCTGCCTCTTTGCCTCTATTTTAATAGATTTTGCATAGAAATTACATAGCTATTCATATTAAAAGTTTCTAAATTGAAAGAATATAACCAGCAAGAGTAGCCTATTAAGTTACATCTATAAAGACTGTCTGCTTTGTAAGATCACTGACAAAAGTAAAACATGTCATGGCATGGGACAAAAAAAGAAATGAAATGAATTACGAGAACGAGAGTGAATGGCAATGAATCTCTAATATAAATGTTTCTCAGTTACCGGAGACTCTTAATTCACCTCCGCTACCACTAGATGTCACTGGTGAGCACGGTGAACACAGGGATAGGGAAGTCTGAATTGTGTCTCAGTAACTGTAGTGGACTATCACAGCTACTTACATCCCCTGCTGAGCTGGGGCTGGGTGAGGGTGAATGTGATGGAAGGGTGAGTGAGAGGGCAGGGGAGAATGGGCTGCCCGCGGTGGGCCGCTGTAGGTCTGGGAAGGTAGAATGATGGCTGCTGGTGGTTGGGGGGAGGGGCCCCCGCTCCACAATACTGCAGTTTTTAGAAAGGCGACCTGGGTGAGATGAAATAAAGGACAAACAAAACACAAAAAGAAAAGAAAAGGAAGACAAAACATTGGTGTAGCATACCTCTGACAAGCTGTCCTCATTGGCTAGGGTAGCAGGAAGGAGCAGGTGGGGGTGGTGTGATGGTGGTTGGGAGGGAGAGAGCAACGTTAGATTACAAAAGGAAGCACTGCATGCTGGGTAACAACACATTCTCTAAAAGCTGGCCTCAAATCAGCTGATAAAGGCAGAAGGCATTACATTTAGGCAGATGGGGATAAGAAATGCCAACAACAAAGAAGGATCAGAGGGTAACGATTTAAAAAAGCTTATCCAGGCATCAAGAAGCTTATTTTCATCTACAGCTAACACAGATGCTGTCAAATGTTAAGACGAGCCATATTCAACATCATAAATCAACAGATTATGCACATTTAGGTGTGCACTAGACATTAACAGAGCAAGTATGCATGTCTTTTATCACTAATAGTACCATTACATTACACATGGTCGCAAAGTTTCAACGTCATATATATATATATATATATACACACATATACACACATAACCTATATATATACACAGCTCTATTCAATTTTACACACACAGACCCAAGTCAAGAATTATATTCAACGAAACAATATATGGCTGGAGCCTTGGTTGGTCCCAAATGTGTTCAAGCTCAATTTAAGATCCAAAAACAACACACAAACACACGGCTTTTCCAAATATATAGCCTACAGTTTTTATATGAGACAGGAACAGTCTTTTTTTTATCAAAAAGCTTAATTTTGGCTTTACTGCAAGTTATTTTGATTCTGTCCTCAATCACTTGAATGCTCACCTACTACACTTTCTGACAGATATTTGCCTCAAGGAACATCTAAAATGTCAGTGTTTTTTTTGTCTATACAATAAAAGTCAATGGGGTCCAATGCTGTTCAGGACCCTGAGGACTTTCCATTATAACAATAAGAATTGAAAAAATCTTTAAAATATCTTCTATCGTGTTCCACAGCAGAAGGTCATACAGGTTTGGAACAGGTGAGTAAGGGGTGAGTAATGATAACACTTCATTTCTGAGTGAACTATTCCTTTAATTTGCAACAGTGAAAGTTGTTTTGGGTGAGCTTTGAAGAGCAATCAAAATATTGGTCATTTCAAAGTATCAAAAAAATAATCTTTGGCAAACTGTAATGTTGTGTTTTTGTAGTCCAGTCTTTCCAATACAAGTTCAAATGTAACACAAATGATGCGGTATAGTCACACCTTTAAGATGTGCACAACTTGCCTAATTGTAAACCTATAAGGCTGAGAACATTTTCTGAGTCTTTTACTAATGTATACACTTTTACAGCAGCCTGAAGACAGTCATTATCCCACTTAACACACTGCAGGGTCATTTCTTCCTGCCTCACACATACACTCCAGGGCCACTCCACAGCAGAGTGCCTGTAAGCACATTACATAATCAAACAGTCATTACTGCTGAATGTGTGCTTGTGTGAGACTGAGAGAGACTGACTGATGGGAGTAAAGAAGAGTGGATCAGTTCAGGATGAGAGGTGTAGAAAAAGGGCTTAAAGCGCTGAATAATGACTGGCTACAGATTTTTACCGCAATAAAATTAGACAATTCACAGTGGATGTTAAGTCACACTTCACAGATATGGATAATATCTAACCAGTGTTGTGAAAAGCTTGTTTACATTTAGTTTTCAACCTGAAACACAAGTATAATCTGTTGTTTTCACAAAAGCTCTGGAGATGTCAAAAGTTTTGCTGACAAATAAATGTGAATTTCTCGGACCAGGTAACACAGAAAAGAAGTAAACATTGTTCATTTACATATACTAGTACAGACATTGTAACAATACAAAGTGGGTTATAAAAAAAAAAAATCAACCAAGTTACAAGGTTCTTTCACACTTGGTTCGATTGCCTAGTAGTCAAAAAGCATCACCACAATTTTATATTATGGTTTCTGAACCTTTGGTTTTGTTTTCAAAGTGTCAGCACATAACGGGAATTTTTTTTAAAATTCAGAACGTGAATTATTCCATAGCTGTATACCTTGTCCAGATGGGTTTTTTTTCATATCGCTGCTTTGCAATTGTGACTGTTTTGTTATCAATTTGCAAATACATTTTGGAGAAATTACCAGTACTAAGTAAACTAAAAATTGTATTTATCAGTTTGATCTCTTAAAACAGCAATCACACACTTCTCCTCAATAAGCCACAGAGTATCTAATATAGGCACAGATAGAAAGTGTGATTGGCTGAACTCACCTCTCTTCCTGCTGGACTGGTTTATGGAACTCAGATACGACACTGAGCTTTTTTTCCGCTGAAACACACACAAGCACGGTTCATTCCATCAGATATCTCCAATCTGTTTGCATTGAACTGCTCGTTTAATGCATGTGTATGTTTGTTACCTCTGGTTCAAACATGGCTCCGCTATATATTGGATTTGCTGTTGTACGTCTCTTACGCTCCTGACGCCTGCTCTGAATCTCTACACAAACAAAGTGGGAAAGGTCAATACACATTCATTCACGCACACAAACAAACACACACACACACACACATTTCATTCCCCTGACCTTCTAAATAGTCGCGCGTGACCAGTCCCAGAGACAACATGAAGGCCAGTTTCTGTGGAAATAATGCGTGTCATTATCTCAGTAATGATCCTAATTTACATCATCATACTCATCATTATCTTCATTATAAACATAAAAGTACTTTACCAGAGGGCTCTCCTGATGTTTGGAGGAAGAAGTGTGTGTGTTGGTTGGAGCAGGTGAAGATGGTGTATGTAAGGACAGTGGAGGAGAAGTGTGTGTAGGCGTGTCTGGAGAGATGAGCAATGAAGTCTTTGGCTCTGTCGCATATTCTACTGCGGGTATCTGATGAAGAAACAAAGATGTATTAATACATGCACTACCATTCAGTTTTTATCCCATTTTAGTTTTTGAAAGAAGTCTCTTATGCTCACCAAGGCTGCATTTATTTGATCAAAAACACAGTAAAAACATTAATATTGTGAAATATTATTACAGCACACAATAATTGTTTTCTATTGTAATATATTTTAAAACGTAATTTAATTCTGTGATGCAAAGCTGAATTTTCCACAGCCATTACTCCAGTCTTCAGTCACATGATCATTCAGAAATCATTCTAATATGTTGATTTGGTGCTTTCAAGAAACATTTCAGTCATGGGCTAATGGTTAGCGAGTCTGACTGGTAACCCAAAGGTTGCTGGTTTAATTCCAGTACCGGCAGTAAATGACTGAGGTGCCTTTGAGCAAGGCACATAACCCCCAATCGCTCCCTGGACGCCACAGCATAAAGGCTGCCTACTGCTTCGGGTGTGTATCACGGTGTGCAGAGTGTGTGTGTTCACTACTCCTAATGTGTGTGCACTAACTTGGACGGGTTAAATGCAAAGGACAAATTCCGAGTATGGGTTACCATACTTGGACTTCACATGTCACTTTCACTTTTTCACTTATTATCAATGTTGAAAACAGTTGTGTTGCTTATATGTTTGTGGAAACCATGACACATTTGTTTCAAGATTATTTGATGAATATAAATTTTAAAAGAACTGCCTTTCTTTGAAATATAAATCGTCATTTGTCTTTCCTATTGACTTTTGAAATAAACTTTTGAACGATAGTGCACCTACACAGTATTAGAAGACTTTCCTTAAAGAAACTTTCCATGTAATTAATGTTTTAGAGTAAACTTAAATACATAAAATGTGAATTTCCCTCACCGTATTGTCAGAGCTTGGTCTGTTGTGAGGTAACTGCTGTGTGCGTGTCTGCACTGACGGCTGCATGTGTGTAGATGGGGAGATCAGGATGCTTGTGTTGTTAGAGCTGTTGGGGCAGGGCAGGCCATTGAGGATACGCATCTGCTGGACGTGACCAGAGGAAGGGAGGGCAGTGCTCAGTAACACCGGTGACTGCAAGGTTTGCACAGAGATCTGACCAGCAGCTGGAGACAAAGACGCTGGGGGTTTTGGCCTGACCTGCTCACACAGGGAAAAAAAGACAATTATTTGTGGAATAAATGGAGAAATAAAAGGTGGACCCAAGTAGTGAAAAAAAATGACTATCAGAAAAGTGATGCCCAACTCAGCGGTTTAACATCAGCAGACTTTCACTTTTAGACTCTAGTATACAACTAACAACAAATATGTTCCCTACTATTCCACAACACCACTAACACCAGCTCCACTCCAATGCAAATAAAAGTTGTCTACTTATTGACTATTAATTTATAATATAATTAGTTATGATAAAATAATGTTTAATTATTTATTATGCATAACCTTATCTCCTGATTTTCATCCATCAAGTTCTGAATAAAAAGAGAAAATAATACAAATAAAATAAAGAGAAAGTAAATTAAATGCAGTACCTTTAATTTGTAAAGGATGTAATTCGCTGAATTGATATATCTTTTTCAGCTAAACAAATATATTATGATATACACTACCAAACGTTTGGGGTCAGTAAGATGTTTTTGAATGCTTTTATTCAGCAAGAACACATTAAATTGATCAAAAGCGACAGTAAAGACATTAATAATGTTACACAATATTTATATTTCAAATAAATGCTTTTCTTTTCCACAAAAATATTAAGCAGCACAACTATTTTCAACACATAATTTAAAAAAAATAATTGAGCGCCAAATCAGTACATTAGAAATATTTCATGGATCATGTGACACTGAAGACTGGAATTACTGATGAAAATTCAGCTTTGCCATCACAGGAATAAACTCTATTTTAAAATACACTTAAATAGAAACCAGTTATTTGAAACTAATAATATTTGACGATAATTACTGTTTTTACTGTATTTAGATCAAATATATATATAGTCTCGGTGAGCATTAAAGACTTTATCTTACCAACCCAAAACATTTGAATGGTAGTGTATACCGCTATGTGATTTTGGTTATACCAACCAACCCTAGCATATATGCGCACACACACAACATATACCACAGAGAATAGCACAGAATACTGCCGGAGAGAAATCAGGGATATCACTTTACTGTAGGGTCAAAAGCAACAGCCAAAGCAGGAATTGCAAATGTCACGACTATGCAAGCACACAGAAATTAAATCCAGAGCAAGAAAACAAGATGGGGCAAGAAGAAAATATCACACAGAAAAGTAACACCTGCATTTAAAAAAAAAAAAAAAAAAGACACATAGATGCACAGTAACACTTAGCAGTTAGGGTTTTTCACTAGCCCAGCCAGGCATTAGGGTGTGAAGGGTTTCTATGGAAACAAACCTGCGGTAGAGTGGCTGGTCGAGTTGTCTGTCTGGTTGGTGGGACAAATTGAGGAACTTTGATTGTTTGGGAAGCAGCTTGCACCTGTGACAAGACCGCCCATTTAGACACCCTTACTTAACTAACCTGTCCAATATACATCCTACAACAAATAACTTTAACCATTTAAGCCACAGATGTAATAGAATAATTGTGTCTAAAATCTAAAGAACCAACCCTGAGCTCTTGGGTTCTAATTAAATTAAAATCAGACAGCCTGAAATGTCTTCCCACTTCATATGCAGTTTGCAAAACAAGAGGGAATAAGAAAACAAAACTCTTCTTGTTCAGTAACAAGAGACTCAAAACAGCTTTGAGAAATACTTACAACAATGGTGCTATTGGATATGACTCGTACTGGCTCTGCTCCCTGATTGGTCGGTTGGATGACCGGCTGGAAGTTTACTGGGGATTTTTGAGGATCTGAGTTAGGAGGGCCTGCAAGGAGTGCGTTGCCAAGGGTTGTCACCACGGTGATAGTAGGTGCTGGTGTCATGATGATAGGTGAGGAGGGGGTGGCAGCTCTCAGAACCAGAGGTAGAGTCTTTGAAGCAATGACAGGGGACACCGAGCTCTACAGGGTCACAAACACATACACCGTTGGAAACATGATCTTTTTTTTTTCTTTTATAGGCAAGTTCTTCTTACTGAACCTAATGATCTGCCACTCATCTCCTTATAATGAAAAATGCCACTGTGATAATGTCACTGGAGCTACTGAGAGTATAAATGTCACTTTTGCCTTGATGCCATATCTAAAAAGAAAGTGACATGTCAGAGCTTATTTTAGCAAATACCAAATAAATATTTAGTCTCCTCCAAAGACCAGTTGGCAATCCCCCAATTCCCTGCCCTCAATCCAAACTGTACTGAAACCATGACCCCAAAACCACAATACGAACCTAACCATAAAAAAACTTAAATCATTACACCCCTAGTAGCTATTGTGTCTCTCAAGATCAGTTCAATTCATGAATAAATCATTCAGACCACTGACACAAAAAGAACTGATTCATAGAATCTACTTCTCATGAACTCTCATGAATATGCCAAAGAGAGCTAGGGCAGATGTCAAGTGGATAACAAAATTAAACTTTCAGCCTGTTCCACACACAAAGCAATAATATGGCCTCAGGAGTAACTTTACATGGACCACTTTTATGGTGCTTTTGTGACCTGAAAGCCTCAATGATTAGCCTAATCGCACGTAAAAGTCAACAGAATACTAAAAATTTCAGAATTAGATTTCTATATGGACAATTTTTACGACACTTTTAGGGTGTTTTTTTGTTGCAATATTGGCACTTGACAGCCCAGGCCTTCATCCCTTTTGTGTTCTCCAATAGAAAGAAAGTCATATGGATTTGGAAAAGCATGTTTTTAGTTTTTGGTGATCTAATCCTTTAAATGTTCAGCAAAGACAAGGCTTTGTCTTTAAAGAAGTCCCTTGACGCAGCCTGTGGAGTACCTGTGGAGTAGTGAGGCTGGCAGCAGGCAGAGGCGTCTGTGTGATGAGCAAGGTAGACGTTTGCCCATCGGCTTGCAGCGTCTGCAGCTTCATATCTTCCTGTTTCACCAGTAGATCTCTCCTTAACTGCTCCACAACCTTTTTCTGAGGGAGAAAAAGAGAACAAGTGCCTGTTCATTTTTTGTGTGTTCTGTCACTCGTACCTGCAATGAAGTCTCTCTCACTCATGCTCTCTTTCTGCCAGCTGTTGTCGTGTTGGATTTTGGCCCGTTTGCACTGACAGCAAGTGAGAACATGGAATCCCTACAACTGAACTTCACTCTCTCTTTGTCTATTTCTCTCTCAGGCAGGGGGCCAACAGTAATCTACCTTCATAAACATCTTAAAAGTGTTTTAAGAAACCGGATTATGGCATAACAGCATGAAACATTTAGCAGTTATAAATTAGCGAGCCATGTCCAGTTTACAGCTGAAAGGACTGTCACCACATTTGCTTTTTCAAATAATTAAGGACAGATATATTAAAGCACGAAATTTAAGTATTATAGATTAATATATGATTATACCCGCCATCATACCCATGTATCCTTATACAAAGTGTTTCTGTTTTTGTATAAGGATAATATTTTTTTGAGTTTCTGACTGTGTTTTTGTTCTTAAGTAATGTGTTTTTTCTGTTGCAATACTCCCTTCTATATACTTCTAATACTTCCAGTTTCATGCGCAGAGACCTTATTGACTTAGGTTGACCTTATTGACAACAAAAACAGTTGAAACATTCTTTAAAATAAATTGTATTCTGCAATTGAAAGTAAGCCATACAGGTTAAGGATTGTTTTAAATTGTTTTTGGCTGACCTATCCTTTTACGAGTCTAAACTATGACAGATAGCAGACTCGTTAGGAGACACCATTAATTATACCCTTGGTGCTGCCAGTGACAAAGAAATTCACCTTTAAAGGGTGAAATGTTCATGTTTAAACTTATGATACATCCAATCTTTTTCTCCTCTTTTAGAAGAGTTCCCACATAAGAAAAACTAGATCATTAGCATTTCTAAGAACACACCTACATTTGCATAATAACTCACAATTTTAAAATAGAAATGCTTTAGTGATGTGTGGCAGGTTCTTTAGTAACTTACATGATGATGAACAGCAAAGAAATGGAAGTCTTAAGTAAATGTAGAGCAATGTAAAATAAAAGTTCTAGCTGATAATAAACAAACATACTTGCACACTTATTGACCTCTGTTATAACTGTGCAAATGAGAAATTACAGTGAGAAAACAGAATGTGATTCTAAATGACATGATCATTCCTCGAGTACTCTCAATGCAATTCATTTGAAGCCATTCACTGTTTGTGTTACAGTTCAGCTTCAAAAAATTTGCACACACATACACATACACATGACCACGTGTACACAAAGCAACATTAAAAGAGTATGGATCCATTACAATCATAAAGAGAAGACAGAAGGAGGAAGATATCAAAAGTTTACTGCATTAAGACTTTACTTAATGCAGGCTACAAATGTTCAGCCAAGTATGTGTTGATTCTGTAACCAGTGAAGACAGAGTGACAGTTACATTAATGAATATGAACACAACCCCCCAGCACAGTCCTCTCACTGATTATAGCTTTAACAGGCTTCCTCCACCATCTGTTAGACTCACATACTCCTAGATCTGGGAGAATTCCACCGGACACCGAATGTGTTTGAGCGAGGAAGGCTGCACACTTTATTAAATAGTGCTGCAGGCTGATACATTTCTGAAGCTCTGAGAGGGTTGACTTATTCCCTTTTCTCTGCAGGAGGAGAGATGATCTCAGGTGTGTTTTCCCCCCTGTTGGTGGCAGCTGCTTTATTCTGTTACTTTAAAGGCTTTAAGATGCTAATTAAAATTCATCTCTGCTGCCACTGCCAGCAATCTACAACACATCTTTCTCCATCTCCTCCACAGAACTTCGCGTTCTGTACAGTTAGCTCAATCGAACAACAGTACGCCACGTAATCATCCCCAGACATTAATCATCAGTTACAGAAATGCCAAAGAAAAGGGGGAGAATAGATTTGCGCATGTTTGTGTGTTGGCAAATAGTTCATTTGGCAACACAAAACCACAACGCACAAATCACACCACAAATGTTCAGCACAATACAACACAAAACAATGCCATGATGTAACAGGTTTCATAACCAAACAAGACCGCCTCATTTTCTCGGGACACACAAGGAGGTAAAGACTTTCAGACCCCAAGTAATTGAACTGATCAAGACATGTGTACGTTCGTAGAGAACACTGATATGGCAGCAGGTGTTCTCTCAGAGAGCAGCTCTCACCTGCCGCTCACTCAGCGCTGTGATCTTGGCCTGCAGGTCACGGAGCTGCAGCTTCAGATCTGCATTCTGTACAAAGAACACACACACTCCTCCCTAATACACTAGTCCAGTGGCCGGTATATGAGAGCGTATCGATCAAACAGTAACGTAAGTGAGGGACATGTTCAGTGAGGGAGACGCACCTGTGGATCTTGCTTCATCTGGCTCACGAGTTTCTGCAAGAAAGAGAAGAAAGTTTTAGCACTCTCAGGAGTGGGTGACAAATGCCGATGCAGTGACCTCTAGAGGACGTCGAGGGTACTGCATCCGCAACAATTACACACTCAATCCATATGGTGTGCAGGAGGGCGGTGGGGATACCTGATGGATCTGGATTTCCACTTTGAGTGCTTCCTGTAAATTTTGTAGTTCCATAATCGATCTCTTCTTCCCAAAACCCAACACAGCTGCCTGGCAAATAAAAGGAAGAGAGCAGATATTCCTTCATTAATTGAGATGTTGTTGAATGACTAAGTATATTAAAAAAAAGAGGTAAAAGAGCTTTTTGCGGTCTCACAGTGTGCATGACCATGCCATGACAGATCTGTTAGTGTGCTTGTGCGAGTGTGTGTAAATCTGCTCAGTGTTCGTAGGATATATCTCTGTGTACTGATTCAATCAGAACTACTCTCATCAAAATCCTGCCTGAACACCACGGATCAAACTGAACAGCACTCTTTTGCACATACACAATACTGTTTTCTCCTGCTGTCATTCTTCTTTGGGAGGAAATGATGCTGACGCATGCATTAACTGTTTCCTTCTCTCCTCTTCAGAACTGTGTAGCTATGCTGCTGTTTTTTTGAGTAATGGTACTACTAAGTGTAGTTCTGGAAAACATTTAAATCAATTAGCTAGCCAATGAAACGCCATAAAGCAGACCATCACAGTTGTGTCAGAATGTGTGCACCCCCTAATGACAATGGTTTATTCTATACCTTCCCAACGTCTGCCGTCTTGAACACCATCCAACTGGCAGAGTGGGGGGTGGAGCTGGAATAGACAAGAGAGGATGGTAAGGACTAAGGACTGGAGCACACACACATTTACACACAGTAGCGCTCCGGAGAGTGACAAATCTACATCATAGCAATATTGAAAAAAAGATGTCAGCAGGAATATTTTAAGTGCAAGCTTTGTGGATAAAGATTTGGGCTGCATGCAAAGATTGCAGATTCAATCCCAAATTGAGAGTGTACAGAAATTGGAAGCTTACTAGAAAAGAAAGCAATCCTTCTTTATACACCCAAGTTAAACACTCAAAGGGATAATTCACCCCAAAAATGAAACTTCTGTCATCATTTACACACCCTCATGTGACTCCAAACCTGTGTGACTTATTTTTCCTCTGTGGAACAAATACGTTTTTTTAAGCATTATTGAACCCCGAACATTATTGAACCCCATAGACTTTCATTGTACAGGCAAACACCTCTTCAAAATGTGTGTTCCACAAAAGAAAGAAAGTTATTCAAGTTTGGAACCACATGAGGGTGGGTAAATGATTTTTGGATTTTTTCAATCAAGGTTCCTGAAATGGACAACTACAAATTGCTTCTGTGAAAAAGTTTCCCCTATACAGCGAGAACCTAAGTTCCTAGCACAATGTCCTGAAACAACATTTACAGAGACACACAGAGACATGAGGCGTTTCTTAACACCAAGTACGCAAAGTTCGGACTTGCCTCCTTGGTAGTAGTCCGGTAATTCTACAAATGGAACAGCAGCGTTCATGATAGCGTCACTCAGCTCACTCTGGCTACTCCGGTTATCTCAGTATGTATATTTTAAGCAACAATAAAATGAAATATGTTATAAAACACCACTCTGCCTCGTATCGTTAAACATTAATAGCTATACACAAAATGTTGTTCAGGCAATGCGTACATTGATTATCTTCACTGCATGTATATTTATAACAAATCAAAATATAAACCACAATCCTGCCTCTTTTTGTTTACATTTTAAAAATATGAAACATATTAATATAAGCTATGCTTTAGGCAATATGTGTATATGTACTCTGATTATTTTCACTGTAATAAAATGAAATGTGACAAACCACAACCCTGTCTCTTTTTGTTAAATGTCAGTTTTAATGATCAATAATAGCAATTATAAAAATATAAGTAAAAAGGTATAAGAAAGAAACTATAAAAATAAGAAATAAAGACCACCAAACAATTCAGTACAAACGTACAAAGTCAGCGCTCTAGTAGGCTACAACGGTAAAGTTAAACAGCCTATATATATATATGCCCGTTAGACATACACAAGACGAATTATCTCATGTTTAACCACTAGACTAGAGACATCAGAGCCAGCGGCAAACGTCAGAAGGACTAGCTGAGGAGGTACGGCTGTTCCAGGCGGGGTTAATGAGCGCTTGAGCACCCAGTGAACGCCTGGACCTCGACACTACAAAAAGTTTAAACGCTAGATCAAATTTTCAAATAGCCTAGGTGCTGCTATCCTTATCAATAAACCACAGACTCGAGCTTTACTACATTTACATTCTACAACCACATTCTCGCCAGAAAAACTCTTAAAACTACATTGTGACACAATAACAGTAGTATTTTTCAATTACACTGGTATTTATCCTCTGGGTAGTTGACATGACGTGGCTTTTTCACCGTCACAGAAGATAAAAAATAATTTATTTCACATTTTCATCATTTAGAATACTGTAAATGGTTAAACATTTTCCTGTTTTACATGAATTTGTTATTTTAATACCAGAGTTATTTTTTTATCTTTTTACAACTTTGAGCCAAATCTCAAAATTGTCCTATGGTGTGACGGGAGACAACATTATTTCATAAATATTAACTTTTATAAATAAAGAAAATAATGTTTAAAAATCTTAATGGACACTCCTGGCATATTTGTGCAAGTGTCTATTTCACTAAGTGGCCGATCATTTTCCTATACATACATTTCTAAAAGTATGGGAATTTCATAAAGTTTGTCACAGAAAAAAATGTCCTTTGGTGTTATGCAATAACCTGATATTATGTTGGGCAATATCATGGCCAACTAAATTTAGTTGAAAGACACCATTCAAGGTCATGTGACTGAAGACCCCTATGAAGCCCATGAGCAGTGCACATAGTAAGTTTTTCCTTTTTTTTTTGTCCTTTGGTGTGACACCCCTAAATTTAATTTTTTAATTCAAATTTGTATTTTTAACAGCAGGACTAAGTAATATTATGCAAATATATCATGCCAATTGCTAATGACAGTCAAGCTAGCATTAGCATGGTTATTAACATGCCACAAAAGCTCAAATGTCATTTGGTGTGACACTTTGGCCTGTCACACCATAGGACACAGATGTCACACAATAGGACAAGACCTCCTTAAGAAGCTATTAAAACAAATAGATAACGTTTGTTAACATACTTGTCATTATTTTTTTACCAGTTTTGATGATTTTAAATTCAATAATGACTTACATTTGAATGTTTATTGCCATTTTTTTGGACATTACATAAAATGTTCTGAAGTGTTATTAAAACAACTTTAATGTATAATGTAACAACTATAAACAAATATAAAGTACATAAATACAGTGCTACTACTTTATAATGCTACTTAACTTATTTAAGAATAGAAAGAACTGAGGGAGAGATGAGTGCAAAAGAAAGGACCAGACAGTATAGGGAGCGAATTAAAAAGGATCCACAGAGAAAGGAGGCGATCCTAAGAGAAAAACGGAGAATGTTGCCATATACATCATATACATGATGACTGAACGACGCTTATTGTTCAGTATCAGAATAGACCTGTGTGAGGTTCAGGTTCAACAATAGCTTGTTATTACAGAATAATAATCTATATTGTGTTTTATAAGAAATTGACAAGTAAGTGGTTACATTTGTAGGGAAAACACAGTAGGTCATGAGTTCATAATTGAGTATACATTACATTAATTTCTCTGTTGATCCATTCATCTATATTCTATCATTATTTCAAACAGATATCACGAAAAGAAGGCTCTCTGGGAATTGGATACATTCAACATTAAAGCACTAGGAAGGAAGAGACAAACTAAACTTATGCAATGTTTTTAGGGATTTTATTTTCATGTCAGAAGCCAAGTTTCCATCCACTTGTCAATCGAATTCTCTGAAGTTCTGTAAAAAACCTCATGCGAATAAAGCTGGTGAAAGTGTGTTTCCATCCAACGGCTTTAAAGCGAATAAAAACCTGTGCGTAATGACGACACATGCTGTTTTACGATCAAATTGGTATATCGAATTGATTTGAGACATTTTCCATTTATTTTCTCACCGAAGTGCACAACATTCAAGCAAACATTTGCGAACAAAATTTTGCTAGACAAAATGGATCGCGCCATAATAATATTTCCATCAGCGTTTATCGCATAAGCCGTATATCCATCAAGATAAAATCCGATGAGACCGAAAGCATTTCATTTGAGTCGATATTCATGAAATTCAATCGAATTTTACTGTTTCCATAAGGCATTTTTAATTCGATATCACTTAATTCGGATAAAAACGTGTGGATGGAAACATAGCTAGTGTTTCCTTATTGATGGATCTATAAGTATCAAAGTTACTTTTGGTGTAATCTGTTTTGCACAGTTTATATTGCTGAAAAATAAAAACAAATGTCCTCCTTTATAATTGTTACAATAAACACTATATATTCTGACTCTTTTTATGCAATGACTATCTTTGTCCTTTGGTGTGACGTTTTGTCCTATGGTGTGACAAACATAAAACAACAGAAAAATATACTTATTTTAAAATATCTTTTAAAAAAAAGAGTCAAGTTTGGCATTAGGGGAGTTTCAATAATATCTCCTCTTAGATGGGTACAATTTCAAACAGTTTTGTAAGGTTGGCGAAAAAGTTATTGACATTCGTAGGGAAAAGTTTATCAAGTTCATCTATTCATGGTGAAAATTATTTTAATTTGTACTTTCATGTAAAATAAATATCACTTTCATAAAAAAATGTTTTAATAATGTGAACAATTCTCTCAAGTTTTTTTTATGTTATTTAATATAATTTCTTAATACTTTTTAAATGTCACACCATAGGACACATTTACAGTAGTGTTGAGTGAAAACGTGAAAAAAAAAAAGTGAATTCATTGACAAAATGAGTGACCACTACTATTTTCTGAAACTGCAGTTTTCATACTCCATAAATATATGTATTTTTTCTTAAAAAGTTATGTTTTCCAAAAAAAAAGTACTTTTTCTTGGCCATTTGTCAACTACCCCTCTGCTATTGACGCTTTCTGGTTGGTGCTAGATGCATTCTGGGATACCTGGCTGACTCAAGTCCACACAAGTCACCTCTCGATGCATCCTCGAGAAAAGGAGCTGATCAAGAACACATCCGGGGATTTGCACTGTACTTGGCTAACGTGAACTTTTAATTGAAACAGTACTTGAGCAGCGAGTGATGTTGTTTCACAAGTCCACAAGAACAGATAAGAACGCATATTGAGGAAAGGCTAAAGTCCCTTGAAGGCAAGTCATTTCTCTTGGCGGCCATATTCGTAATGCCCCTTGCAGCTATTTCCAGCCATGCAAATACAGCTCTAATAACTTGTACTTTTCAAATTAACACAAAATTATTATTTTTTTACTGGTCCAGCTAAGGAACAAGCACGTTCTATAGTAAACTAAGCTGTGATTGGCTCATTTAACAGCTACATGTTGAGTTGCGAAGCCTCCATCAAAAATTGTAAAGCGGGACTATAGCCACCACATGCTTTCCTCCATTCATATATGTACAAGTGGACTGTCTCAGTCTTATAACGTCTTTTGGAGTTGAATTAGTTGATGCCAGTGCAAATTTACTCACTTCCTGCTTTCTCTGGTTTGTTTGAGCAGTTATTTTTTGTTCTCAGTACTTGTGTCTCACAGAATCAGTCTCTGTCTCTACCACAGATCATCACTCCCTTCTCATCGGAATGAAAGAAGAGACTACCAGATGGGCACTCCACAC